TTTTAACTTTTTCTAAAAGCCGCTTTATAAAAGCAGGAAGAAAGCCGTCACAAACGAAGCTTAAATGTGCAACTTCGGATTTCTTAATCCTATCAGAGTGATTGTTTTTTAGGATTAGATATTTTTCTATGCCCATCCTTATGACAATAGTGAACCGAACAAAACCTTAACGATTTTTGCAAACAAAATCAGTGATAATTTGTTATAGCGAAGATGAGCCACTCACAAGTTGGAGAACAATAGCGGCTACATTTTCTATCAAACTTCTTAATGCTGCTTAAGTACGTGATAAATGATCATGTCATCTTTTGCGGCCCAAACATGGAGTTGATGTATAGAATTATCGCACAGCAATCAAAAGCATGGAACTTGATGACACTCCACAGATTACCTGAATTTTCTATTGTCTTGGTAACCGAGAATGATCTACCAAATAAGTAGTGAAGCAGCCAACTAATGAACCATTGGAGAAAAGTTCCGCGGTAATCTCTTTGGAGAAATTCTATTTAAGTTATTATGCTGTTACTATTTATTAACTTGGCATATGTGTGCCAGAATATCTAACAAATGGCTACTTTTATAGTATGACAACTTGGTCCTTATATATCTTCCTAATTATAATTCAAATTACTCCAGTGGATGCTTTTTGGGAAGGTGATGGTAGTTTCCATCTTGTTTTTAAGCTATTTAACGTTGTCAACCTATCAAATTGTTTAGATTTAGAAAACGTTAGAAGTTCTTTAAAACATTAAATTTTTTTGGATGTCAGAATTATTTTTGCTTCCATTTATTGGATGTCAATTTATACTCAACCTTTTCACGTTATGCTCATTTCGTATCCTATCTCTAAGGGTAAAAGGCCACTCATCCACCTGAGCATCCTCAATCTCTGCCACACTTAACTTAATATTAATGCTTCTCTTTTATGTGCCAACATTCAGCACCAATAAAGCATTGCAGGCCTTCACTACCATCTTATAGATATTTTCCCCTTAGTTTGAGGGGTACTTTTCTATCACAGCTTTTTCATGGTTTTTCACAAGGCCCCGATGCATTCTCCACTTCAACATCCACTTGAATTCTGCTGATAAATCTCCATCAATTTCACCATACTCTAAACAATAGATCCAAGATATCTAAAATGTGTACTCTTATTAATGACTTGATCGCCCAATAGTCACAATCCCCAACCACTAGGTCTATTACTACTTTAAAATTACACTCCATATATTCGTTTTAGATCTCTCAAAGGCAAAAACCTTTAGTCTCTAATGTTGACCTCCAAATTCAAGTTTTACTTTCAACTCCCTCTCTAGTCTTTCAACAAGAAGAATTCAGTCAGCAAAAAGCATAGCACCAAGGTACATCCTTTTCATGTCTAGTGAGAAATCCAATGACTAAAGCAAAAGATATGGCGCCTGTAAGGCTGATCCTTGAAATGTATACCCAACCGAAATAGGGAAATACTTGATCAAACCACCTGTGTTTGAACACAAGTTTAGCTCTGCAGACATATCTTTAATGATTTCAATATAGCATTAAATTAATCCTTTTCTTTTCAAGAACTTCTCCATAGCACTTCTCTTGAAAACTTTATCATATTGCTTTTTCTAATCAATTAAAAATCATACATGTGAATCCTCCTTATTATTCTCTTATTTCTACATTTCAAAACCTCTTTAATAATGTTATGACTTCCATAGTCGACCTACCCGGCATGATCCAAATTGATTTTGAGAACATTAGTTCACGCCGCAACCTATGCTTTCATAACTCGGCTCCATATTTTAAAGTATGACATTAACTTAATTCCTATAATTCGCCCAATCTTTGTGCATACTTTATTTTTAAATAGGAAATTTAACACACTCATTCTACAACTCATATGACATCTTTTTTTAGTCTTCAAAATAGTATTAAAATTTAGTAAGCCAAAGAAATTCCCTTCGTCTCCTAAGCGATTTCCACACCTTTAATTGAAATATCATCAGGTCCAGCAGCTTTTCCATCTTCATTTTTCTTTATAAGCATCTCTACTTCGATTTTACTGAATACGCGCGAATAAAAAACATACATCTTTATTTTCATTAGGGTGCTAAAGGTCACTATAGTCCAATTTTATTTCACAATTTTCATTAAAAAGAATTTAGCAAAAATATGCTCATTTCCACCTTTGTTGAATATCATATCTAGACAAAGTATTTTTTGTGTCTTCATCCTTAATACCTTCACTTGAAACTAAATCCTTACTACTCCTGTCTCTTTGTTTGGCTAACTTATACATATATCTTTCTCCTTCCTTAGTATCTAAAACATTTATATATTCACTAAAAGCTAAGGTCTTTGCAATCGCATATTGGCTTTCTTAGATTCCGTCAGCTCTTTATATATTTTCCAATTATCAGAATTTTAATTAAACCAATTTTTATATACTAAATTACTAATAAATCTAAAAAAAATAAAAAAAAAAAAAAAAAAAAAAAAAAAAAAAAATAAGTTAGCTTAAATAACTAGTGATTAATTAATGATGAAGATGATAAAATTAAACTTAATTAAGTTTAATTATGATGTTGGAAACTTAATTTCATTGAGAATTAATGAACCTTCAATTAAGCGAATTAAAGATAAGTTAATTACATTTTAGTTGATCCAATAAGCTGATAGTTGATTAATAATTAAGACGCTAATTTAGATCTCAAACAGGGTTGAATTAAGCTGTCATAAGTAGCCTAATTTTACATATCTTAACTGATTTAAATTATAAATTACTCTAAGCTGTTATTAATTTATAATTAGACTATTAACTGGGGTAAGAGGAGTTTTATCGTGAATCAAGGCTAATTTTTCCTTGATTAAAATAATCAAGAATTGATTACACTTAATTAAGCAAATTAATATAAATGAATTAACCTACATTATATTTAAGTATTCACTAAAGTAAATATTAATTTTAATTTTAATTATTCCTTAATTAGGATAATTAATGATTAATTAGTCAAATAAAAACTAAATAGAACTTCAATCCACATCATTATTCTATAAGATGGTGGTTAGACCTGCAATGCTTTATGGTGCTGAATATTGACTATTAAACGAGGAAGAATAATATTAAAGTTAAGTGTTGCGATGTGAGGATGCTTTAAGGTGGATTAGTGGCTTTACTCCTTTTAGAGATTTGATACTGAAATGGCATATTACGGTGCAAAAGGTGGAGTAGCTGCCAGTGGAAGATAAGATTAAAGGA